CTCAAAAATGAGATAATTGCATCTTAGGTTATCTCTGCAGACTTCTGCCAGAAACCATCACTGAGATAGATATGTGATAAAGCAGGGATAATAAAGTGTTCCTTATAGAATTTAGGTATGGGTATACAGGTATTCGCTGTATAATTCTGTCAACTTCTCCGTTAGCTTGAAAGTTGCTATAACTAAATATTGGGAGGTAATCATAGAATAAGAAAACATCTGTTTAAACGCTGCTCTGGGAGAATTTGATTTATTTAAGTAGTCTGCTTTCTTCTGTTCATTGTATTCATGATTTGTTTCTAAGATTTAAAATTTTAGCTGAAGATTTGGGTGCCCTTCATTTTTTTCTTCTTCTCTTCCAGTTTTTCTTTAACATCGGCACCGATGACCAAGAAGGCCTGTACAGTCTTTATTTTCACAAATGCCTTGGAAATAAAATGTGGTCTAACGACAAGTTTTCGTTCAGCCTTGATGTGAGTACTATATGGAAACCCTTCCATGTGGATTTTGTCAGCTGAGTAAAATGTGAGCCATTTTATTTCGCTATAAGAATAGGTATTAAGAGCACTTAAGCAAAGTAAAAGAAAAATATGGCCAGAGTAATGTCTCTGCCGGTGGGCAGGACAGAGGATTCCTAAACAAGAAAATGTAGAGCAGAGTAGGATGTTTCCACTTCAGCCTGTGCCTTAGAATGTGGCTGTTAGCTGTTGGTACTCGCTTTCTTAAGCTTCAGTGAATGGGCTAAGGTTACCAATGGCTGAACAGGGAATGGTCTGTTCTTGAAGAGTAAAAATTAATTTCCTCTTGGTTTCAGATTGAGATCACAGAGAAGAACCCTGACAGCTACCTCTCCGCAGGGGAAATCCCTCTCCCTAAATTATACATTTCCATGGCCTTTTTCTTTTTCCTTTCTGGGACCGTCTGGATTCACATCCTTCGAAAACGACGGTAAAGTATTGCTTCCTTGAGCCCTTCATTGTGGAGTGGGTCGGGATTTGCACACGCTCACCTTTCATTGGCTTATGCACCCGGATGAATTGGCATGCACCCTCTCCTTCTCTGCCGAGGGCATCTCCCTGCACCCTAGGGAGGCAGCAGGCACTCTCCTTCGGGGGGGGGCTTTGGCAAGCCTTGGTGTTTGCCCACTCACACTACTTTGTTTAAAAGGCAGGTCCAAATATCTCAGTAATACACAAGCAACACAAAATGTAGAAGACAAGAGTTTCCACAGCAAAGACACCGCAGTGCGGGGCTCAGCGTGAGCACATTGGTCCCGCTCGGGGGCTGTCTGTTCTTGAGAGGAGATGAGTGACAGTGACCCACCGCCTGGTGAGAGCATGAGCTGTTGCTAAGCACCCAAGGCCTCAGCGCAGAGCCGGGCTGGGGTAGATGCCGACCATCAGAGGCTTGTCGCTGGCGCAGTCCCCTCCAGAGCCCATCTGCGGCCTTTCTTCTGAAACCCCTGTGGCTTTAACTTCCTGTACTTGGCTCATGAGGGGACCAGCTACATGTAGGTAGAGCTAGTGTTTAATTCTGTCTCCCTCCCAAAAAGCTGAGAACAAAATATTGATTTTCAGTTTTTAAAGAGTAGTGTGAAGTATTCGTTACAGGATATGTCCCATAAACTGAGTAAATGATGGTATGTAAATATGGTATTATAACATGGATTAAACTTATACAACAGTTAAGTACCCCACATAACAAACACCCCCTTCTCTGGAGCACAGAGGCAGAAATTGAGACCTGGTCCGTCCCTGGTGGCCTGTCTTCTCATGGACATGCCCGGCTGGGGCATTGGGCTCGGCTGGGAGCAGCTGCTGGTTCCTCTTTGTTGGAACATCCTTTACAACCACCAGATGGGAAGAGCGTCTTGTTTACCTGTTAAGGCCCCTACGTCATCATATTTGGACTAGTCGATCAGGCAGCCATTAATAAGAAAAAGAATCCTACAAATTCAGGCATAAGAAGGTTCTTATTTGTTTGTTTTTTAGAGAAAGTTTTGCTTTTGACTTTATTAGGAAAGTAAGAACTAGGAGGGAGAGACCTGACCTCAAGTGCAAATGCTGACTGTTACCACCCGTGGGCCTTGCTTCAGTCTAAGTCGATTTTTCCTCGGCTATAAAACCAGGGCGATAATAACTGCCCTGGCTTCCTCTAAGAGCCTTAGACCTTTAGATTTATGTGATTCCCCCAAAATAATGTGTCTGAGAGGGTTGCATGCATAAGGGTGCTATGCAAATATGAGGTACATACAAAATAGTTTACTAGCCAGGTGTTCAGATTTCACTTTACTTAGTGATACAAGACATTGTCACTGGCTCACTCACGTAAAACTGGGAGCGGTTTGAAATCACTGAGGCTGACCTACTTTGTAAGCCATGTTGGAAACTTCTCGTCGAAGTGCAGTGCACACGCAGAAATGTGTGAGTCAAGCCCTCTGCCCCCTCCCGGGGTTTTCCGAGAGTCTTAACAGCCAGTTGTGTTCGGTTGGAAATTCGAGTCATGTAAAGGATGTGACCCTGAGGCTTCCCGGAGCATTCCAGAGGCTTGCAGCCTCTTAGAGCTGGATGGAGCTGAGAGTCCTTTGCCTCGTTTCATTGAGGTCTCGAGAGAGGAAGTGAGAGCCATGGCTGGGACTGGGACCCAGGTCTCCTCCTCATGCCCGTGTGGCTCCTCTCAGCTCTGTCATTTCGGTTGTGGGCCACAGAGCGTGGGGCGGGGACGCCTGGGGACATGGAAGGGAAGCCGGGCAGCCAACAGCTTTTGCGTCTCAGCTCTCTGCTCAGTCAGGCACTTGATGTTGGTTATTCCAGCTAATCTTCCAAGAGCTAGGTAGGTGTTGCCCCATTTTCAGACGAGGTCGTGAAGCTTAGAGAGATTAAGGTCATCAAGGAGAATCAGCGTTCGAGCAATTCGGTGTGTTTCCGACACATCACCGCCCCAGCCGGGGATGTTTTAACTAACGCCCGTCGTGGTTGCCGAGGTGTCTGAGCAAGCACCGCTTTTGACAGAGGGTGGTTTTGCCCTGTGAGTAAATCTGGTTGCTACTCAGGAGTGACAGACCACCCTCGCCTTCCTGTTTGACTTCTGGTAGGCGGGTGGGCATGGGGGCAGGAAATTACCAGGGAGGAAATAAACGATCAGCCCGGAAACGGAGCATGCGTCAGTGCACAGCAGCCCTCCTCAGCCCGCACAGGCCCTCCTTCACCTTCCCTCACGTCCTACCCTCTCCCCCGTCCCCAGCCGCTCGTGTGTTTAGTGAGTGTTTTGGGATATTTGTGTACTCTTATAAATTAATGTTTATTGATGTTGCTTGTGTTTTTAGTTTATTTAAGCTATACTGTCTGTAGACGTTGTTCTTATCATTTTCCACACAGTAATATCTGTTCTATTGTTGTATTTGTCTGATGCCACACTGTTCCACGTTTGTTTACTGCTGTAAGTTTGCAGAATGTCTGAGAGCGTGCGTTCCCTCCGTGTGTCTGTTACTCAAGTCTTTATGTACTTGATTGAGTTTAAACTTTTTCTCCATAACTGTCTTGTGTGTCCTATTATTATATTGTTAATTCCTAGGGTGAGGTGGGAAAGGGTAGAAGAATTTAATGCCCAGCAGCCCACAAGTGGACACGTACCTGTGTGGGCGTGGCGGTGGGAGGGGCTGTCGTACCTCACTGGCCTGGTGTGTTTGGCAGGTTCCGGCCGTGAAGGGGAGAGACAGGGGCACGACCGTCCCCGCCACGCGGCTGCAAACGCGCCTCTCCTCTGGGCTGCACATCTCCCCCCACCGTGCCTGGCCGCCTTCTGCTCCCCTGGGGATTTCATGTCGTTTTTTTGTGGCTCCATCCACCTCCCTCTTCTGTGGCCTTTCCAGGGTGGTTTCCGGGGAGGAAGCCAGCAACCTGTTTAGATTTCCATCCCCTCAGGGCCCGGTGCAGTTCAGTACGTAGCCCTTAGTTCCAGTCACAGCATCCACTTATAAGTTCAAGGCCGTTTCTACTGACAGAAACTACTTTTTAATACAGGCTTCATGTTTGTGGTTTCCTTAGGTTACATTTGCTGCCTCCTTATAAGTATGTCTGATGTCCGGAGCTTTGGCTGTCCTTTGGGAGAATGGAATATTTCTTTCATTCTTTTCTCTCTGTTTTTATAGGAATGATGTATTTAAAATTCACTGGCTGATGGCGGCCCTTCCTTTCACCAAGTCTCTTTCTTTGGTGTTCCATGCAGTATGTATTAGTTTTTTGGGGTCATTTCTGAAATGATGTACAATGCCTATACGATCAGGAAAAATCAGTGAGAAGAAAAGGGGGTGGATCGGGGGGAAATAAAAGATGAAAGGACTCCTTTCTCATAAAGCCTCCTTTGGTCCGGGGGGACTGGCACGGGGGTAAGTCACCCCTGGCTCCCTAACACTAGCCTTCAGATGCCTTCTGATATTAGCCACAGACCCAGAGTTTTCCTAGAACACTTGTTTATTTTTATTTCTTTGTTTTTGTTTATTTGTTTGTTTGTCTTGGGTCATTTCTTGAAATTAGAGTGCTACCTGCTAAATTGTTTCCACGGCTGCCTTTATTTTTCCAAATAGTCCCTCATGTTCCCATTTGATTGGAAGTTCAGTCTTAGTATGCTTGTTTGAGACAAAATTAATGCTCTACAGATTGAGGCATAAAATTGAACTGAAGCTTTGAATATTTAGTACTGATGCAAATTGAAATGAGCCTGCCCGTGGGAGTAAAATCCCAACTTCCCCAATTTGTAGGCCCATGAGGTACCCATGGGTGACAGTCTCCAGACACGTGCTCTCCTGCTGCACTTAAAAACGATACCAGAAAACTAAAACATTTTCGGTTACGGTTTCAAGAAATGACAATTATTTGGGTAATTTCTTATTTGGATCTGAGTTAAAGACTTTTTCTGGAACCGTATAGATAATGAGTGATTGGATCCTCAAGTCACTTTAATACCTAGATAGCCATTTGTGATAGAATGAAAGATGTATCGAAAAATAAAATTAATTCAGGAAAGTGAAAAAAAAAAAGATGTATAAAGAAATTTGTATCACCTTTGTGAGTTCTGCTAGGAAGCATTTTGGGTACACTACTGTATCTTGCCCCTTTTATTAAAATGAGTTGGTGGCTTCAAGAGGCTCTAAAATTTACAGATTTTTTTTCCCCCCCAAAGAAAACATAGTGTTCTAAGCTGGGTGATTCCACATAGATTTTCTTTGACTGACTGACTGACTGATTTACTGCTCTAAGCAGCTGGGTATGAAAGATACAGTTCCTGGTTGGGATACTGAACAGACCCTGGAGCCTTTGCACCTTGGAGGTTTTAAAGAAAAGACTAGGTAGCCATTTGTCAGGGTGAGTCACCTGCCTCAGGAGAGGGAGCGGGACTGGGTGTTAGTGACATTGAAACCTGTGTCAGGTTTCTGAAGCTAGTTGACATTGTCAGCGCACTCCCATGCTTAACTGTGAGTTGACAAGTGAGTTACGAGGGAGCAGGGCGGGGCAGGCATCCCCGCCATGAGGTGCACCGGTGGCATTTCCTGGGGGGCATTTCCTGTTTTGCTGTGCCCTGACGTAGGCTGGTGGCCTTTCTGAAATGCAGCTGTCTGATTGCAGATCGACTACCACTACATTTCCTCCCAGGGCTTTCCGATCGAAGGCTGGGCTGTTGTCTACTACATCACTCACCTGTGAGTATGCCGGTGCCACGGGACACACTGATACTGTACCTGACTTACAAGAGATGTGGGGGAAGCCGTGGCAGGAAGAGACCTGCCCCAAGCTGACTGGCCCCGCCCTCCTGCGGCAGCCTGTCTGGGTTCTTGGCACGCCGAAGGTGTGCGGCGTGCAGGTGGCTGTCCAGACTGGAAAGCTCAGGACTGCTGGCGTGCCCCTGGGAGGGGGTGGCCTCCTGCGGGGATGGGCTGCTCAGGCAGTGGGGTGCATAGCTACTATCAGCGACAAGTGTTGCTCACTGAAAAAGAATTTCCTGAATTTGGCCCCCGTGTCTTTTGCAAGGAGCACATGAAATGCTAGAGTGAGCGGTAGAATCTAACTCACAGAATGAGACCCGTTGGTGTCTGTTAAATCTTTTCTTTTTAGCTTGAAAGGGGCCCTCCTGTTCATCACCATCGCACTCATTGGCACTGGCTGGGCTTTCATTAAGCACATCCTTTCTGATAAAGACAAGAAGATCTTCATGATTGTCATCCCGCTCCAGGTAAGGGGACGCGAAGCCTGCGTGTTCTAGTTCTGCCTCGGCACTTAGCAGGGCCCGCTCCAGGCCTGTCGGGGAGAGGGGCTCGGCTCACTCAGAAACCCCTTCTGCCGTCGGGGATTCTGTCTCTGAATCCTGACCTCAGGCCGTTGCACGGGGAGGTGTCTGACCATCAGTCATCTCTAAACCAGCGTGTGGACAGCTGCACTCGAATAGAGAGCTGCAGGAAAGTTAGGGGCATGGACTGCCGCCTTTTCTGCGCCTGTTTGCCCTGTCACAAAACGGTCTTCTTTGCCAAGAAGCTCAAGTACATAGTGATGTTCACAAATTATTTTAAAACTGTGAATAACACCAGTGAGGCTTTTTTTCCGGTTGGAATAATTTTCCATATTTAAATACAAAAAGCGAACACTGCCCTTTTTTTTCTCCTTTAGACACACACAGGTGACTCCAGTGAGTTTCCACATGGTAAAATATTAACGAGATCTCGGGGGCAGACATTTCTGAAACCCTCACTGAGTTTGGGGCCCTGGGCTGAGGGCAGCCTGACTGGATTGTGAGCCCCTTGGGGCAGGGACCTTGTCTTGTAATATTTAACAGTCTTATTGAAGGCAGAACCTAGACGTAAAGAGCCCAAAATAAACAGAGCAGTCCTAGCAGGGATGCACAGCTACTCTGCTTGACTAAAGAGTCGCGAAAGCTGTTCTCATCAGCCTAACTCATTGCAGAGCACAGTGTAGATGTGGCAGGTGAGGGGAAGGGAACGATTCCCCAGGCACCCACATCAGCCCGCTAAGCTCTGGCAATTGGCGATTTGGCAACGTTTGCGGCAAAGCCACCCTCACGCTCAGTAGTAAGGAGTCGTGTTAGCACCAGATGAGTTGTGTAGACCAGTTGCTGTAGGCTGCCGAGGAGAAACACCCCAGTCCAAATGATCTGGAAGGCTTTGTGTATGATGGGCCTTGCCTAGACGTTTCAGGAAGGAAATACGACAGGCAGAGGAGGGGCAGCAGGCATGTGACACTGCCGTCCCGTGAGCACAGATGCTAAGAGACTGACTGTGCAGGTCTCGGCCAGCCTGACAGGGCCTGGAGCTCGTAAGTGATGGGCCGGTCCTCTTCCCGCTTTGCTGCACTGCTTGCTCCTGTCACCCTTTCCCTCTGAGGAGCTGTCACCTCCCCCCCTTCATCTGAACTGTGACTTGATGGGCACAGTCTTCCCAGCTCCTCCCTCAGAAGGAGCAAAACACGGTTATGTGGCAAATCTCTCTGAGGAAACAAGGGCATTTAAAAAATTAAATACCAGGAAGTCATGTGTATTTTAACATAGGGAATATTCTGGGAAGGCCTTGAACATCAGCCTGAAAAGTTGAAACTGCTGCTTTGTGGCCCCGGGGAGCCACTGCACATCTCTGAGTAAAGTGAGAGCGGTGCAGAGTGGAGTTCCAAGGACCTGATGCACGTTGTGTCACACCAGCACCTCTGGGTCTCTTGTGTCAAGAGTATGAGCTGGGGACAAAATGGAATTAGGAATTGAAGGTGTGAAAGCCTTTGTTTTCCTTCAGAGATAGAGCTGAGAGGCAGATATTTAGGATGGACCCAGAGCTGGCTGTCAGCTTTCCAAATAAGCTTTGCGTTTGTGTTACGTGAAGTATGGCTTCTGTGATGACTCAACTGATAAGCTGTAGATCGAAAGAGAAACTCCACTTAAAACCAGCGGAGGTTACGTTCTCTGTAGACGTGCAAGGAATTAACCTTTGCAGACGGCAAGGCAGAGCACTGGGGACCACGGGCTCCTCTGGAGGGCGACATGGATGACAGTCTCTGCATCCCTACCTAGCAGTAGTCTCCGGAAGAACCCTCACAGATAATGTTTCCCGAGGCTGAGCAGGGTCACAGTTTTTAAAATGGTGCTGCCTTGGTCTTTCCATCCCACGCCAAGAGCTTAATAACGGGACTAGACCCATGAGGCAGACCCTTAACTGTGGGAATGGACGGACACAAGCATGACGCAGGCGAACCTCGTGGGGAGAGCTGAGCCATGTCCAGTGGGGAGACCCTGGACTGGACTGAGTCCTGCGAGGAGCCAGTGGCTGCTCAGCCGCTGGACCGAAAGCGGCGTCCTCACCATCAGGTCTCTGATACATTACTGGGCACTAGGAAGGTTACTGTCCCTGAGAGTGGAGGTCACCACACAGGGAGAGCCTGGGCCTGAGGAATCTGGGCCTCATGGCCAAACGGGGTATAAAGTGCCACCTGTTCAGCGCCCGAGTGACTCTGCTGAGGCCTACGGTGCCTGAAAAGCAGAGTATCCTGGTTATCGGTTGCTATACAATAGATCACCCTAAAAGTTAGTGACATAGAACAACAGCCATTTATTCTCAGATTTCCTTTGGGTCAGGAGTTCAGGAATGGCTTACCTGGGCAGGTCTGACTCCGTGTCTTATGCAGTTCTAGTCAGGCAGTGGCTGGGGCTGGGCCGTCTTGAAGCCTTCACTTGCCTCTTTCCCCCCGGGCGGGAACAGCTGGGGCTCCTCATGTATCTCTTTCTCTCTCTGCCTGGTCTCTCCAGCATGGCACCTTCGGGGCAGCCTGACTTCTTACAAGAAGGTTCAGGGCTCCAAAGGTGTGTGTTAGGGAGAGGGAGAGGGAGAGAGAGAAAAAGAGAGAGAGAGAGAGAGACAGAGAGAGACAGAGAGAGAGAGAAACAGGCAGAAGCTGTAGCCTTTCTGTGACCTACCTTGGAAATCACATGGCTTCACGTCCACCTTACCCCATTGGTTAGAGCAGCGGTTCTCAACCTGTGGGTCGCGACCCCTTTGGGGGTTGAACGACCCTTTCACAGAGGTCGCCTAAGACCATCGGAAAACAAAAAGATATTTACATTACGATTCATAACAGTAGCAAAATTACAGTTATAGAGTAGCAATGAAAATCATTTTATGGTTGGGGGTCACCACAACATGAGGAACTGTATTAAGGGGTCGCGGCATTAGGAAGGTTGAGAACCGCTGGGGCAGAGCATCACAAACTCAGGAGGGCCGAGACCACGTCTTGGTAGGAGAGTGGCAACATAGTGCCAGTGGAGTGTAACCCTCTTTCTTGGTAGAAAGAGCATGTGGGGCTGGAAGTAAGGCTGTAGCCATAGGGCCTGTTGGGGCTGCAGCTGCGAGGACCTGCCCACGCTTTGGGGCCTGAGCAACGTCTCACGTCCTGTAGGTCTTGGCAAATGTGGCCTACATCATCATAGAGTCCACCGAGGAGGGGACGACTGAATATGGCTTGTGGAAGGATTCTCTGTTTCTGGTTGACCTGCTGTGCTGTGGAGCCATCCTGTTCCCGGTGGTGTGGTGAGTGCCCGCGGGGGGTGGGAACGCTGCGCGTGCGCCATGAGCTTGTCTGTCAGACCCGGCTGCCAAGCCAGCCATTCCCAAACTGGTCCGACTCACGCTGGGCATCTCTGTAACAACTACAGGTCTCTGGGTCCCAGACTGACCCGAATCAGTCTCCAGGGGCAGGACCATGAACTTGGCTCTTTATCAAGTTCACCCAGTGGATTCTGGTAGACCTGGTCTGGCACCGTGGCTGGCTTTTAGCACAGTTTAGACAATAGAGAAGGTTCTGGAAATGAGAACTTGCAACATAAATAGCAGCACGAATTTGGGAGGAAAGGAGTTGAAGAAGTCCTATAAATGGGCTTTTATTGCCAAGTTAAATGGCAGATGAGGACGTACATTAACACCAAGCTGGTGATAGTTCTCAGCACGTGAACATTTTAGATACCTGCAGAATGGCTCCCTTCATTCCTGGAAACGGCAGACTAGATGCATATATTGTACTTCGATTCTGTGTAAAGAAGAGTTAGTGCCAAGTCAGTGGTTGATGAGAAAATAGCCTCATTAAATCTCATGCAAAGTGAAGGAAATTCTTGGTTCAGTGGGAAGCAAGTAGAGAAAAAAAGGCTAGCAAAAATAAAATACCCTTATGATCGAGTCCCTTGGCTACTTGAAAGAAACTAATTCTTTTGGAATAAAGTTTAAAAATATAGATTTGCCAGCTTTCTATTAGAAGTGAGGTGTCCCATGTTTCAATGCCTCGTGCAGTAAGTTGATATTTTTTAGGATCCTGGGGTTTATCTGGTCAGTTATTCTAATTGTTTAGGACATGGTGCTGGTGGAGTGTAATCCTCATTCCAGCCAATTAGATTCACTCTTCACCCCAATTCCATTGGACAGCACACGTGTACACTGATCCGTTCAGCAGACAAGAGAGAGCACAAATGAGATTTTTATCTCCACAACCTCCTTGCAGCCTGCCCCGGGAGCAGTAACTCAGGCATCTGTGACAGGATGCCCGGCGTTGTCCTCAGACAGAAAGAGCATCTTGTTGGGGAACAGACCCCACGCCTACATCTGTCACTCAGCAAAACAGAAAGGACACGGGGGTTGGGAGACCCAGACGTGCTGTAGAGCTACAAGTGGCCCCTTCCCTCCACTTGGTAATTACAGCAGATGCTGAGTGGCAAGATTCTTTAAGGCAAATATTCTGAAAATTGCCATAAAATGAAAAAAATCAGGTACTAGGGAGGTAGGTGATTTAAGAAACAGTATCAATAATCTTTTGAAACATTCACATTCAGCAGTGCTGGTTGCGTGCCAGCTGCGTGCTACCTAACTTTCCCGAGTTGCTCCATTCTCTCCCACATGTGGGCAGACCACGGAGGAGGTCGGAGAAATGACCACTCACGGTCAAGCAGGGTGGGTGGGCGTGTTGGGACTTCAGCCCGGGTCGGGCCCTCCCCCCACGCCATATCTGTGCTCATCCTTTAGAAGAGTCTCCCTTGGTGCCTTTGAACTCGACCTGGAACTCCAATCTAAGCTTCTTTGATAATGTCCGTGTTCTCCTGCCTGAGCTGTAATGACGGTAATTAGTTACCAGTACATACCAGCCGGAAAAAAGACACACACACAGACACCCCCCACCACCACCACAGGGCCGGCATTCTTCAGCCAAGTTATAAATCTCCGGCCAATAAAAGACTGAGTTTGCGTGAAGCCCTATGCTCGCAGCTCCTAGACCTAGACTGTAGACATCGGCCTGTGACCTTCTGGGGTCCAGGTAGCAGGTGAGCTCAGTGAGCCCGCAGTGCCTTAGTGCTGGGTTGGGGCTGGGTGGCAGCTGTGGGGCTGAGAGGAGGTAGAGAGATCAAGAGTGGTAAATGGTTGTTTTGTTTCCCCTCTGGCCCAGGCCCTGCCGGACTTTTTTCAGCCAGCAGAGGGCATCTTGAACTCTCAGGCTAGCACCACACCTGCTGAAGTGCTGATTGTCAGCGATCCTGGGCTTAGGGAGAGGGGCCGAGTCATCATCTAGTCCAGCCCTTTACGTGTATAATTGAGGAATTCAAGGCCTCAAGTTACTAGCCCTGGAAATTCAGAGGAATGCAAATTTGTCAGCTAACTGTGTGTTCTCCGAATGTTTATTTTTAGGTCCATCAGGCATTTACAAGAAGCATCAGCAACAGATGGAAAAGGTCAGTTCCCTTGTGCTCTTTTGTGCTGAGAGGAAGACGAGGATGCTGGGTCTCAGGGCGCTGCCTTCCTGGGAGGCAGGTTGGGGGCCCTGCGTGGTGAGAGCAGCCAGGCGTTCAGTGGGGAGGCCGGCGGCGAGCATCGCAGACCAGCCCTGCAGGGAGGCTTGGGGGTGGTCGCTGCTTATTAAGGCGATTCATTTCATTTCCACTCATGAGCGTGATTTTCACCTTCTCAGGACTGAGTCATGAAGAGAAAATCTTGTGTTGGAAGGGCCGCTGTCGCTTCACTGTGAGAACAGGAGGTATTATGGGTTGGGGATGGCTATGTGTAAAGCCTCCCTTCCTGCCGATGTAACACGCTTTCAAAATAGATGTGTCGGTATTAAGTGAAAATGAGCCTGATGCCAGAAAGAACCTTTGAAACTCTGATTTTTAAGTGGCTGTGCCATGAAAACCCTTTTGCATCTCCTTGATTTTCCAACCGTGCCTCCTAAGTCAGAAAAGAAGCCACAGAGAAAATGCTCTGTGTGTTTCTGGGCTCGTTTGAATAATGCCCATGAATGCAGGCTGCCCTGGCACGCGAGGGCCTCTCAGACCACAGGGTCGGGGAGCAGTGCTGTCAGAGGTCGGAGCTGCCTCTGGACCCCGACATCGTACTCAGTGCTGATAAGACACGTTTTGTTGCCGACCTGTTTTCTGATTATAAAGTAATGAGGATTCATTTTAGAAAATTTGGAAAACAGGTAGCAGGTATGAATCTTACTTCACACTTGCTGTGCAATTAATGTCACACACATCGCTGTCCTTAAATTGAATTAAACCTGACCTTAAGGCTTCACACCAGTGTGAAGATCCTGGGGTTCTTAGAGCACAGTATTCGGGGGTATCCCCAATTTGGGCCCACAGTAGTTCCTGTTGCTGCCCCGTCATGTGACAGATACTCTTGCTTGGGGCAGCCTGGTGCGTGAGGGTCCTGCCTGAGCTGGGGACCTGCTCAGGTCCAGCTCCCATGGCCCATCCAGCTTCTCGAGTGGCCTCAGGCCCCACGTGCAGAATGTGCCATTTCTTGTTTTCTTCCTGGTCTTGGGAAACAGCTCTTTTTGGTTTTCTCTGCTTTTCCTTCAAGGGCCCTACGCTCCCTTCTCCCTCGGGAGTGCCCTCCGGATAGATTCTTTTCAGGGAGTTTAAGCGGGAACGTCTGCAGAAATCTGCTTTTAGCCTGGCTCCACAGCCCTCCTCTGAGAAGGAGCTCAGAGCATCCTCCTGCCTTCCTGGAAGGAGAGAAAATTGGCAAAAAATAAATTAGAGTTTTCGTAAAGCACCCTGCCACAAACAGAAAAATCCAAAATAGAAAATAAAAACCCACCTTCCGGGGATAATCATTGTTGGGGGATATCCTTGTCCTTTTTTGGGGGGGTCTATGCACGTTATAAGATGCTTTTATTGCTTTTGTAACTTACGCACAGGTCTTTCTCTTATTTTAATATATTGAGATGAGACATTTTCCTTTTTCATCCCTCTGCGCTTCCATATTTCTGTATTCCTTTTCCTGACTTGGGCTGAAAATGTTTGAGAGTCCCAAGGGCAGTGTTTTCTGGTCAATAAGTTTTATCTGTACTTTTCTCCTCGGCTTCCCCCTTCCCCTTCGTGAGTTCCTCTGGTCCTTCCTCACCTCCGCTAGTTTGGTCCCTCTGACTACCTTCTGCGCCTTGCTTTTAGAGGCTTACAGGTAACTGTCTGTGACCGTTTATTCCACGAGAGGTTGGTCGTCAGCTGAGGACGTAGTACAGCTCTGCCTGGGGAAGACAGCACAGCAGGTGAAGCCCAAGATGGGATGTCATTGTCCCCCAGCATCTGTGGTAAAGATAACTGAGGGAGCAGGAATGCTTTCGTTATCACAACCTGGGGCGCATAAGGCAGTTTCTCATTTGTTCCACCAGGTGGCAGCATGGGACCTCTTCAGCAGAGCGCTAGTAAGGCAACAGGGAGCCCTGTAAGCACAGCAGGGCTCACTTCACCCTTGTCAGGATAACACACTGTTAAGAAAGCACCCATTTCTCATCAGCAAGTATCACAAACCCTTTGAAAGGAGGACAGAGTAGATCAGATGAGGGGTGTCTTCTAGATTCATGTTCTTTCACTGGATTGATTTAGGCCATGGGATGCTTTTGAGCTAGTCTGCAAATGTACATGTCACTCCATGATTTGAAAAAAACGGTTATGCCTGTGACACTTCCAGAGTCTGGGCAGCCTGTTCCCAGGGTTGAAGTCTCCCCTGCAGAGAACTTGCAGGTACGCCCCTATCCCCCACCCGCCTCCCCAGTGCTGGGAAGCCAGCCTGTGGCGTGACTGCAGAGCGGCCATGCTCTCCCTGCTCGTCCGCCCCAGGACAGAAGCGAGGCAGTGCAGGGGTGAGGAGACCACTGATCTCCGCTGCTTTCAGGATGTTGTGGTTGACGCTGTGTGCTCCTCAGCTCACCCCTCCTGAGACCTAGCCCTTCCTAGAGGGAGCTGGCAAAGTGAAGGCCGTGGGCAGTAATGTCTCCTACGGGGTTTGGAAGTGCTCTGCCTCATGGAGCCTAGCACTCTGGGTCCTGGTCTCAGGTGCTTTATCCCACTGACTCACTGCGTGACCTTGACAGTGACTTGGGCTTAAGACTCTCCGTAAGTGCAGCTCAGGCTGACTGATTGCAGGTGGGGGAGATGCTGTGTGGTGGTGGTCTCCCTGCATTTGGGGCTGCACACGGCTTTCGGGGGTGTTTGTGTGGGTTTTGTTTACTGCTTTGTCCCTGGGTTCCTTTTGACGGAACGTGAGGGAGACATTAAGGCTGAAGCCGCCCACTGTCCTTAAGAGCTGCGTCTTTGTCTCTCCTGTCACACATTGTGGCCTCTCTCAGAGCCTGTCAGTTAGCCGTGGCTGTGCGGCGTCCTCAGAGAGGAGGCGTGATTGAGTCTTGCACAGGCACACCTAGCTCTGGTTCCACTGTGTTTCGCCTGCCAAGATTTACTGGCCGTGGCTGCCCTTGAGCCCGCGCCCTTGTTGGCGCCTGTGTCTCCAGTGTCATCACCTTAGAAGACTGGCTGTGGGAGGCACGCCATGCGTTTACATAACAGTCTTTGCTCCTGGCCATCTTTTTTATTCCACCTTGTATTTCTGAGGAAAATTCAGAGGAAGTTTTCTGAGGACTCGTAGCTTTTATGTGAGCTTCAAAAACATGTCAGCACATGGTGACTGGCTGCTTGCAGGGTTTGTGGAGGACTGGCTTCGTTGTGAGCCGCTGTCGTGTTCGGAAGGTCGCTGTGGCCATGAGAGGCAGTTCTTGAGAGGGCCCCTGGGGTCAAAACTATTTTCTTGGTAAGACGTTATCAGCCTATTTCGCTGTTGACATTTGCGCTGGTGGTGCAAAAGCGGAAGTGGGTAAAAAAAACAGTTGGCACGTTGGCATGATTGAAAGGAATGGCACCAAACTGTGTTAGTGGCCATTGCATTTTTCATCGCCACCTACTTGCAGGCAGTGAAAAGGGCTCGTTTCACTTAGGAGAAGCCTTGATGAGATGGTAAAAACTATTCTTATTATTGAATCTCAGTTTTTAAATATGTTTTTTTAACGTTCTGTGTGATGAAATGGGAAGTGTGCATAAAGCGCTCTGCTGCGTCCCCAAGTGTGATGGTTCTCTTGAGGAAAGCACAGCTGTTTGAGCTGTAAGCTGAACGGGCCACTTTCCTCGTGGGGCACCATTTGTGTTTGGAAGAATGATGTTGGTCAAACTGGGATTACTCCGACTTGGGGGGTTTTGGCAGATACTTACTTGAAAACGACAAAGTAAACATGTTACTTCAGGAAAACAATTAAAAGTATTTATTGCCAGTGATCTAATTTTCACTTGGAAGCACAAATTTTAATTTAGGAAAACTTACATCCACCACTGCAAGCTTAACAGCTTCCCAGTAGTTCTTAAAAGACTTCTGATGTGAGCAGGGGTGAGGTTAGCAAATGTGACTTTACAAAAATAGTTTATGGTAAAAAGTTGCAATGTTTTGGAGACATGCAGAACTCAGTGAAACAATATTTTCCACCTGATCAATGCGTGTTACACAGTCATGCGTGACGAAAAAGAGATCCATTCCAAGTACGAGATGGACTGAAGGGTTTCAATGTGGCAGAGTGTGAAAGTGTATTGCTACAGTTGCAGATTCCCCACCGCACTCATCTTTAAGTAGCTATCATTTGTCAAGTGCTAATGTAGCATGAAGACTGTTCACAGTTAGTTACCTGACAGGCCCACCTCTGTATAAGGCCCTAGACTCTTCAGACACTTCCACCAAACACGCCTTCCCAACAAATGGCGTGCAGAAGCAGAGCTGAGAATCCAGCTGTGTTCTAGTAAGCCACACATTACAGCGATCTACAAAAATGGAAAAATAATTCCACTCAGTAAATTTGTTTGAGTTATTTTTTCTTTTTTCTTTTTTTAAAGATTTTATTGGGAAATTGGGGGCGGGGAACAGCCAAGTTGTTGTCCTTCAGTCTTAGTTGTGGAGGGCGCGGCTAGCTCAGCTCCAAGTCCAATCGCGCCGCTCAGCTCAAGGTGCTGTGTTCAATTAGTTGTGGGTGGTCGTAGCCACCATCCCACGTGGGAATCGAACTGGCAGCCTCCTTGTTAAGAGTGCACGCTCTATCCCCTGAGCCACCTGGCAGCTCAGCTTAGGGTGCCGGGTTTAGTTTTTAGTTGTGGGTGGGCATAGCCCACCATTCAAACCAGCAGTCTTGTTGCTAGGAGCATGTGCTCTCACCAGCCGAGCCATCCTGCCACCTGCTGACAGCTTAGCGGCAGCTCAGCTTAAGCGCAGCGTCACTGTGGGACTCGAACCGGCAGCCCTGTTGCTCAGCTAACTCTTAACCAACTGAGCCACTCCGCCAGCCCAAGAGATACCGTTTTTAAAACCATATATATAATGTAGCGAGGTTGACTGCTGACTTCACTCTACACTCAGCACTTTGAAAACTAGAAAGCTCACACAGATAATAAGAAATGAGTGCTTTTAGGTATTTACTGAACTGTAACTTTATGTCTAGAACTGTGTTCTTTGTTATTTGATTGGAACAGTAGCTTATCTGCTCTGCTATTTTCTCTAACCTTTTACTCTAGTGGAATCTGTGCTTTTCTTTAACCGACGAGGTGGCTTTTAACACGGATTGTCCCCAGCGTTCCAGCAGAGCTTTGGGTTACATAGTTCCACCTGGCTGATGCTTATAAGCACTCTCTTCCCTGATTCCTTTGAATCAGTTCCTGGTTACAA